AATGTAAAGAGTGGCAGTACGGGCAATCCGTTTAAGAAAAAGAAATGAGCAGTTGTAGTCTGTGATAATGTTAAGGAGAGACTCGGGAGTTAGGGACCCAAAGGAGTGTGCATAGAAAAAGAAACGAAAGAAAAAGCAAAGAACCGAAGCGTAAATGAAAGACTGTGTGGGAGAGAAGAAAGGATGAAGAGAGAGAATGGAGATTGGAGGCGCTGGGGGGAAGATCGGGGGTGACGGGTGGTAAAGCGCGGTACAGAGTTGCCGAATCGAGTGATATGATTGGATGATAGAGTATTGTTCAGTAACGGGTGGTAATCAGAGGTCTGTGTACTGGGTACATGAGACTTATGTACTATCTGTACCTGGATTGCGAGTACCTGTACTTTGATATAAATATAAAAAGATTATATTTTAAAAAAAAGAGTAGTAGCAAAAAGCAATTCAGATCTGTGAATTCAAGATGAATACCCACACAAATTGTAGGAATTATACCCACCGTATTTCATCCTTTTTTAGACCGTGGAGTCGCGCTACCGCCCGCTCGGTAGGGGGTGGCGGCCTGACTGCATCAGAGTCACATTTTGATTTCATTTTATTCTTTTATTCTTCTTTACGATGTATCTTTTTTTTTATTTATCGAATTTTCTTTTTTTCTTTCCAGAATAGAGTTGGCCCAGAACACGATTCCTATCCCATCCGGATTCCCCTCGTGAACCTATTCCAACATGGGCGTGTGACTGAAAAAAGAATATATGAGTTTGAATCTCACATATCTCATGTTCATACAGTACCTATATCTATATATATATACCGTATAGTTTGAAATCTTGGAAGCCTCGGAGTAAACAAAGGTGATCCAGGGTTCAAAGTGTGGAGAGCCCGAGTTTGGTTCGGATGCCTCCCGCGGTAATTTAACAATGTGATACACCCAGTGTAATGCCTCTTCAGGGCTTGAGGAACACCATCTTCGTATTCCGCGAATTACACAAACCAAAAAACACAAACGCAAAAAATCCAGTTCCTGCATTAGCGTCATGTCTGATCCCAGAAGTCCCTGCAAAGAAAATCATGTCCACTATTTAATTTGGAAAAGGACATTATGTGCCTTCCAAGGTTGTACGCTATACGGAGGACAGAGTACTGAGGATTATATCTAAAGTTATTAGACATATAAAGATGTATATCTAATTCTTACAGTGATCAGACTTGCATAATCTACTTTAGGTAGTCACATTTCCTTCCTAAAGAGCCATCCCGGTCAATATTCCCTTGTACCGGGTGACTGGGGACCGGTGCGCTGGGTCAGACGATCGGGCGCAGTCCCTCGGTATAATAATACGCTTTGATTCGATCGTCATGGGCAATGATGTCGACTCTACAGTATGGACAAAGGTACGGAGGTAGAATAGACTATTGACTCCTGAAGCAACCTTGGAACTGACTGTAACTGACATTCGGTTTCCGCTAGCACAAATCGATACTAGTGCGGGCGCATGGCAGGTCAGCCAAGATAGACTAAATATCAATAGTCGACAGATCCCCCGTCGATCACTCAAGGATCTGCCGAGCTTTTTCATCTCTTTCTTTGTGGCGCCCTCCTCTTTTGGGCATCTTTTGTAACCCCTGTCATTCGGCTTCCAGGCTGCAACCATATCCCCGGTGTGACACCATGTCGTCTTTTCCCGGGGATTTGGTTGGGCCCTATTCGACAGGCGCTAAACGTCTTGAAATAAGTCGCTCTATGCAAGCAAGTCACGAGGGTTGCAGCCCCAACTTTGTCCCCCTTAAAGCATGCCCAAAGATGATGACTGCTCGGACACCCGGAGCCTGCCCTTGACGCTATGGTCATTTTTCTTTGTCTCAACTTTGTTTCATCCCACCCTTAATTTGGTACTTCGACAGCTACATCGTATATAGTATAGAGTGCTCCATACTGTGGGATATTTCAGCAGCTTTCAGTTTGGCCGTTTAGAACCAGTAAAATATTTTAACATCTTTGGGGAAACCCTAAGCTACCCGTATGAAACCGAGAGATCCCCGAAGGTCTGTCTTACTGTGATCGGATCGCATAGGGGACCCAAACTCTCGCCGGCACATGGATAGTGGCACCCGGAGAGAATAAGGCAACAATGAACCGGTCTAGCGGAACCTTTAGTCTAGCTGTAAGCCACAAGAGCACCCCTCATCACTAATTTAGTGGCCCCAATTTAGTGATCTGCCCCGTGGACTACTCTATCTAGTAGCGTGATCTGACCCAAAAAACCGGCAACCTCTGGTGATCTAAGGTCTATTATGCTCGATGAGCCAGTTATATATATCAGAAAACTGCGGTGGAGTGATTACCAAAAAAGAGGAATTGTTCCGGATGAAAGATCCATAGCACAGACCTGTTTGAGACTGGTAGCTCCATAGAGCAGGTAGATCACATGAGACTAGGTACTCCGTACACAACGTGGCTCTTAGATCCCCTCAAACTTTGTACGGTGTGCCATTTTTTTTGTCTTTTTAGAAGGAATGATGTGATGGACGTGATAGTGATGTAAAAAGTTAGATGTTTCCCGATTCAAGCTTCATGTGTATCAGGGCGCGTATCGCGCACACACCGGTGAGATTCCCGATGGCTTCATGACTCGATTGTGCTCACTTTCGTCTTGGCACATGCCCCACACAAAATGGCCTCAGAGTCCAAGATGGGGGAAACAGTAGGCCAAAAAGGAGACTCCAGATCGAGACCAGTTTGATACTCCAGTCCGAGAATCCCCGATGCTCAAAGTACATACAAAAAGTACCTACAAAAACACCCGTACTTTATAACCTATTTAGGCTATCACAGTCAAAATTCGGGGGATCTGCCCTGACCCCTGGGTCGATCCGCAACCTTCTCGCACGGATCCCTCTGGCCCATCCGACTATTGGATCTGTGAACCGTTTTGAAAAAAAAAGGAGACAATTCCCCGACTTTGATCGACAGTGTGATAGTAAAAACTAAATATCCATCTGGTTTCAAACCTTGATAGATTGATAATTGGCGATCTTCGGATCCTCAACTCGCTATGATCTCCCCGCTTCTCAAACCCCCTGTTCAGTAGTGGTGGCTTGGTTTTCCTGACTCGTCAACCAGGATATTTTAGGGGCTTCGGAGTATTTCGGTCAGAAGCTTGGTGGCTGAGCTGTGCTCTCTGCAGATCTGTCAATATGATAGATCCCCGTCTTCGGGACTCCCTTGTGGCGCCGATCGAGGGACTGTGGCGGTGCGCAACTATATCGAGCATCCTGCATATAGCCTTGGAATTATTTGTCACTTTCGTGGGTCTAGTGTGATCGAGTTCGCAGGATAATCTCTGCGAGATCAGCCATAGAGGAACGGTCTGCGACATGATTGGATACGCTCTTCAACCCGGTGCATCCCCATTTGTGGTCCAGATCGGAATTAAGGAAGTGCCCAGGTGTATGTGATGAGATTGCATTTGCCCCTCCGTCATCACACATTTCCATACAAAATACAACGTAATAGGTTCATCGAGGAACCCCTCCAGATTGGAGCAAAAAGGCTCTCCCACATCGCCTTTCTTGCTTCAATCACTTGTGATGATATTCAGGAGTCTGCAGTCGAACATCTCCTCTTCCCGACCCATGCGCAGGATGCAACCTAGCCCCTTGCATGCTATCCTCACCGGCCGAGTAACCATTGGAGAGAAGCGTACGGAGTACTCGCCCCAATTCTCCCATTTAGTTAGCATACGTCCCATCCCCCAAACCACTTGGCCCACCAATGACGTCCGCACAATACTCTTGTTCCAAACTTGCCGGGAGGAAAAGTATCCACATCCTCGTGAGCATACAACTCCTTCCCCGAAAGAGCTGGCTGCAGCTGCAGTAACCTCGCAGCAGCCACCAGAATGCCCAGCCCCAATAAGAGTCCAGGAATTTTTTCCAAACCTGAAGTCATCCTCTTCGGGGATGCATTTCCGAGCTCACGGCCAGATTTTAGATACACCCGGGGCTCAAGCGTGCATGAACGGTAGTTCGCGGCCCGCCCTGTCTGAATGATTGGACCAGATGTGAGTAGCAGGTACGTTTGCGTGCTGTAACGCCCTACCGAAGAAATCCGGCTTTCAGCTGCAAGGATGGAGTAGCTTGCATACCCACAAATGTGCCCGCCACGCGCGCCATGGTGGTCTAGGGCGTCCAGTTACCGTGTCAACAGGTATACAGCTTGATCCTTGCCGGCCAGGTTTTCTAGATAAGCCACCATTCTTTTATGAGAATTGTCGGCTATCATTAAACGAATCCGTACTCTGTACTTCGTACTGCAGCAACGATACCGTCGCCGATTCGTGTGCAAGCCTGAGGTGAACTCCATACCTGCTTCAAGGTACCTGCACATGGTGGATTGTCTGTGGAACTTGTGCATACGTACTTTCTATCTTGCATCTTGAACCTTGCTTGGCCCGATTACATCCCCGCCCGGGGAACTACCTGAGCTGCTTCGGGGACTTTGTATCTTTGTATCGTTTCAGGATATGCGGGGCCTAGAACTTGTGGTCGGGCGATCCAGCCCTGCTCAAAAGGTCCAATGAGTATCAGAGCCACATGTGCTGATACATAGCATGAGACTGCAGCAAAAAACCGGGTTTCGTCTCTACGTAGATACCAGGTACTCTTTTTCAGCATCACCAGTTGTGACCCTCACCTTCCAGGGAAATACGAACACATGGCGGATATTTGCCAGGATACAAACCCTCTAGCTCGACAAACATTGAAACTCACTCCCATGCCAACTCAAACAAACCAAAAGTTGAAAACAAAGTCCAAAAAATATGAATATATATCACTCTATGCTGTATGCAGTGCACATTACTTCTAAAAAAACCACGAGGCCTTCAGGCTGTGCATCCAACTCCGAAACAAAAACACATTACGTAGCTGCAAATGGAACAGTACATCCCTGCCCATGTAGCGGCGAATCGGCGAATCGGCGAAACCGAGATGACAACGACCTATACATAGGCATTCTTGATCTCAATCTGCACCTGGCCATCAACAACCGCCTTGACCGAAATGCTCCTCAAATCTTCCACAATCCAATCCGCACCAGCCTCCTGGAGCTGATGCAGCGAATGCGTCGTCGTCAACGCAATAACCTTGAACCCAGCAGCCTTACCAGCCTTAATACCCGACGGTGCATCCTCGAGTACGACAATCGAGGTTGACTCTTCAATGCCAAGCTGCTTCCTGCCTAGCAAGTAGCAGTGCGGGTCGGGCTTGCCGACCGGCACGTCCATTGCTGTCACCAGGTTCTTGGGGTGTGGGAGGTTGAGCACTTCCAGCCAGCCGTCGACCAGCGGGCGCGTGCCGGATGTTACAACACCCCATTTTGCGCCGGAGGTCTCGAGGGCTGCGATGAGGTCTCGACCACCAGGGATCTCGACGGCGTCGGCGCCATATTGTTTTGGGATTCGGCCTTCGATGTCATTGACATCTGTGGTGAGGGGATACTGTCAGTTCTATATCTTATGGTTTTGTTGGAAGACAGTGATCAGTTCTGGGTGGTCGGGATATCTGGCAGACTTACAGTCCCAGTTGGCCTTGGTCTGGTCGTATAGACCCATTGTATCGATACTGCGGCGGCCATGCGAGGTCGCGAGAATAGTCTTGGGGTCGACACCGAGCTCGGCACCAATTCTGAAACAGAATTTATGTCAGAGGTTCTGCTCACAGAGGTTGTGTTGGAGTAGGTTAATGACTCACTGGTGCCAGTGCTTTACAATCGCTGTTTAATATTGCATCGTTAGCATTGGTCCCAATTGATCCTAGGAGGACTTGAATGGGGAGCAAATACCATCAGTCGAGTCCACAATTGTACCATCGAAATCAGAAAGGAGACCATCAAATGTGTGGACCTGCGCAGGCGCCGAGAACGATCCTGTTGTTAAGGACATGGTGGGGGAAGATATGCGGGGAGAGTGGATGGAGGCAATGGTGAGTAGATGGAGAAGCCAATCTTAAGTGGAAGACAAGAAGAAGTCTGTTGGGAGTTTTCTGAAAGTATCAACGGTAAGAGAAATAAGAACTTCAAACAAGATTTTAGAAGCTAAGACATCATGAGATATATTTCGTGCTTATGCCCCGGGACCCCTCCGAAACCGGGTATATGCCTAATTTGGCAGCTGTCCCGCAAGCTTAGTCATTTGAAAAAAATATCGGAGATCGGCCTAACTGCTAATCCGCTTATCGGCTGGGAAATCTTGGCACTCAACTTTTTCTACTCCCGTTGCGGACAGACTTTGAGGGTTTGCTGTGCACTTTTTGCGATCAACAATTACGTGCATTCAAAATGGTTACTAAAAGCGGCTTCGGTATGATAGTCTTTTTTACCCCTCGCTCATGCGGTCCTGAGGCGCAATTCTAACGGTCTACAGGCAAGACTTCCAAGCGGGTTCCCGTCCGCCTGAGGCACAAGATTGAAAAGTCTGCTGTTCAGAAGCAGAGAAAGGCAAAGAAGCTCGCAAAGAAGGTACTACAGACAATATCTCCGTAAAGGTTCTGATCGAAGGTTCTGACTATTTTGTCTACAGAACCCTGAATGGCGGTCAAAGATTAAGAAGGACCCCGGCATTCCCAATCTCTTCCCCAACAAGGACAAGCTTCTCCATGACATGGAAGAGCGGAAGCGCATGAAGGCCGAGGAGCAACAGCGCATTCGTGACGAGGCACGAACCCGCAAGACTGAAGGCGTCCCCGCGCAGACTGGCACCGAGGCTGTCGAAATCGATGAGAACGATATGCTGCTGGATGATGATATGGATGCCGAGGGCAATGATTCGAACCCCATGGCTGCTCTCCTCGCCTCAGCCCGCGCCCGTGCCTCAGAATACGATGATAACCAAAGCGACGACGAAGACGAGATGGAGGACGATGAAGACGATGACGATGAGATGGATGACGATGAGGGCGGCGCAACTATTGACGAGTCACCAATTGTCAATTCAAAGTCTTTCTCAAAGGAGAGCTCACGACGCCAATTCGACAAGGTCTTCAAGCAGGTCACTGACAACGCCGATGTCGTGCTATACGTGCTCGATGCCCGCGACCCCGAGGGCACCCGCTCTAAGGATATTGAGCGCGAGATCATGATGGCAGACGGTGGCAACAAGCGGTTGATTCTCATTTTGAACAAGATCGATCTGGTTCCCCCGCCAGTGCTCAAGGCTTGGTTGCTTCACCTGCGCCGCTCCTTCCCCACTCTTCCCCTTAAGGCATCCAGCGGTACCACTGCCAACGCACACAGCTTCGACCACAAGCAATTGACGGTCAAGGGTACTTCGGATACTCTCTTCCGTGCCCTCAAGTCATACGCCGGTGCCAAGCAGTTGAAGCGTGCCATCTCTGTCGGTGTTATTGGATACCCCAATGTCGGCAAGTCGTCCGTCATCAACGCACTCACCGCACGTTTGAACAAGGGCTCGAGCAACGCTTGCCCCACAGGTGCCGAGGCTGGTGTCACCACTAGCTTGCGCCAGGTCAAGCTGGACAGCAAGCTCAAGCTGATTGACTCCCCTGGAATCGTCTTCCCCAGCTCCAGTGACAAATCTAGCAAGAAGAACAAGAAGCAAGAAGACCAAGCCCGTCTTATTCTCCTCAACGCCGTCCCCCCCAAGCAGATCGAGGATCCCATCCCCGCAGTCAACCTCCTGATGAAGCGTCTATCTTCATCAGAGAACCTCCTCGCCAAGATGCTCGAGTTGTACGGCATCACCGCCCTCTTCCCCGGCAATGGTGATAAGACCACCGACTTCTTGGTCCAGGTGGCCCGCAAGCGCGGTCGTCTCGGAAAGCGCGGTATCCCCAACATTGAGAGCGCTGCCATGACTGTTATCAACGACTGGAGAGATGGCCGCATCCAAGGCTGGGCCACTGCTCCCGTGCTCCCCGTGGTCTCGGCGGATGCTCCTGCTGGCGATATTGAGGCTGGTGTCGACACCACAAAGGTCGTCACCGAGTGGGCCAAGGAGTTCAGTATCGAGGGTCTCTGGGGCAACGGACAAGCTGATGACGAGGAGATGGCCGAGTAAGGGCTGGTCTTCTTGCTCGCGTTATGAACTCATTATCTCATTTGATTCTATCTTTCTGGATACCAAAAAGTGGGCGTTTTATGTTGGCATTCCATCCTTCCCTAGGTTTGATCTCAATTTCAGTGGTATAAAAACATCAGTAAAATGACTCTTTTTTCCAAATAAATCCAAAACTGTAGATCGTAATACATATTATTGTAGAAGTGATAGTAATAGAAATCAAAGTGAGGTAGACATCACCGCCAAGCCCCCACACTCGCGCATCGAGAAATCCAACGCGTTGGCGCGTCTTCCTTGCCACCCTCGAACGTCGTCCCATCTCCAAAGCCCATGACCACCGCTCAAACCCAAATACAACTCCAAGGTCCTTCACAAGAGAAACAATCAGACCTTGACTCGATTCGATATCCAAGGGGGGGCCGAATCGTCAACCCCCCGATCCCTTTTAAACCGCGCAACCAGAACAAAGGCACCGCACAAAATCTACAAAAATGCCACCTCGCAAATCCACGTCCTCGGTGACGCCGGCTGATGCCGATGACTCCCTACTCCAGCAATCCCCTTCAGCACCACACAGCGACAAGCCCGTCTTTGCGACGGAGCAGCAGTTGAAGGCTCGGGCCGAGGCGGGCGCAAGTGTCGAGGTAAGACAAAGCCAGAGGCTTGAACATGCATTGCGTATTGCAGGATGATACCATATCTTTGGACTCCTTCATACACGACATGTGGAAAAAGGGAACCGAATCAGGCTAACGCTATCTCCGCAGGACTATCTCCTACCACGCTCACTGACGATTCGTCTCGCGAAGTCGGTTCTCCCGCCGAATACGACAATCCAGAAGGACGCCGTGCTGGCTATGCAAAAGGCTGCTACGGTGTTTGTTTCCTATCTGTCTTCACAGTATGTTCATACCACTGCCCCGCTGTCCTTTGCATTCGAGTCCTCCAGTCCGAAAATACGGGATGGTGAATCTCGATTTATTCTCTATCCCATGGCATGATATGTCGAACTAACCTCGATTGAAACCTTAGTGCCAACGATGCAACCCTCAAACGAACAATCGCCCCAGCAGACGTCTTCAACGCCCTCTCTGAACTAGAACTCGACTCTTTCCGCGGCAGACTCGAACAGGAACTCGAGGCATATACGGAAATCAAAGCCGGGAAGCGCAAGCCAAAGAAGGTTGATGCGAATGGCTCGACGCAGGATGCGTCAGGCGAGGGCGCGACTCAGGGCGATGGTGATGCTGGGATGCTTGATAATCCCGCGAAGAGGGTGAAGCGGGATGGAGAAGGGGAGGTTGCTGTTGGTGCGCCTGCTGGTGATGATGGGGATGAGACTCAAGAGGAGGACGTTGAAGAGGAAGAGGAAGAAGAGGATGAGAGTGAGGACGATGAAGAGGAGGAACAACATGTCCCGCGTGAGGATGACCTTGAGCATGTGGAGGATTTGGACCGTGAGCCTGGTGCGAGGAGGGGGCCTTTTGATCCCGATGCTGAGGAGACGGATGAAGATGAGGATGGGCCTGGTAGTCAGTTGCGGGATGATCTTGGGCTGGGCTAATTTATCTAGGACGTGTCAGAGGGGCTTGCTTATATGTGGATGAGCCAGAACTCATATAGGATGGCATTGGAAGAGGTTGACTGGTGAAAGAAAAGAATGTTTCTGCTGTACTATACACATAATGACGAATGGATTTTATGCTGCGCTCTATTGGTATATATTTTGGATATAGGAAGATGGTGGGTAAAGTTGGATGAAGTCTAGAATATATTATATTAATCCTCGACATATTGCACAGTTACGCGGGAGTTTGACTGAATATATATATCAAACCCCAATGCCCTACTAAAGCAAAGGTTACAGGAACAAGAAAAAGATACGTATATCCCAGAAGAACAAGGAAGATTGTATTAAACGAGAAAGCACCTAACAAATCGTATGAGGGACCAGTCAGGAATATCTTATTCAGATAACCCACATATGAACACTCATACAGATTGGTATGAGCGAAGATAAGAATAGAAATAAGAATTGAAATAAGTAAACACCACGCTGGACTAAGCCAGCTTGACCGAATAACGCCCGAGCCAGCCCATGCGAGAAACCGTGGTCTATCAATGGTATCTTTCGAAAAGAGGACAGCAGCAATCATCAACCCAAAGCAAACGCAGGTGATGCAAGTAGGAATACAGTCCACGAAGAGGAATTATGTAAACACAAGTGAAGAAGTGTAAGATCCAGAAAGGGATAGGAGCAGTGAAGGTAGCACTGGAAAGAACGAAGAAAATAACACCCAAGGACGCCATCTTGGTAACCATGCATCATGTCATGAACTTGTAGTCGGCCGAGAATAAAATATCAATATTATGACCAGAACATAAAACAGTCAGGAGGAAGCCACTGGCCGAGGACGAGACTCTGAGTCGAGCGCGATGTCTGCTTTCTCGGGTTGCCCTGATCTGATGGGCAGAGTACCGTTGTTCCTTGGGGCGCCCGCTGGGACCGGCTGCATAGCTTTGAGGTCGGCCTTTGTACTGATCTTGCCAGCAGATAGAGATGTCTTGGTAACGCGGCCGCTGTACGAGGTGATGGTGGCATTTTGCTTGACCGGAGCACGCTTTTTCGAGGCAGTTGCAACCTTCTTGGTACGAGGATTGGGGGCGGGCTTGGTGATGAACTTGGAGGTAGTAGGCTTGCGAGAAGTAGGCTTTCCGTTGTTGATAACGTCTTTGATGCTTCGGCCATTGCTTGCTGGATTCTCGAGCTTGATTTTCGAAACCTTGGTGGCCGGCTTTTTCGTGGGCTTCTCGTCCTGACTGGCAGAAGGTGTGACGAGGCCAGTATCTGCGCGAGGTCTTTTTCTCGGCGTGACTACGACAGAAATGTCGGAATAGCTGTGGGGAATGGGCTCGGGCGAGGATTCGTACACGCGCGGGGTAATGTCCTCTGACTCCCATGGTTTTAGGTTCGCCTGGCGTGCAACCTCATCGCATGACCCCTTGACGATCAGGTCAAAGCAGTTGTCGAATTCTTTGCCGCTTGGTGGTTCATTGTTGATGAACATTGTGACACCATCCTTGCGACTGCGGATCATTGTGCACAAGCTCTTGACGAGTCGACGGACCCCGGGAATCTTCAAGCTGGTACCGGCGACAATCAGGACGCGAGGGCGGGACTTGATATCGGCATTCATCACAGAGGTGATTGCCTCTTCGTCGGGGTTGTGCTCATTATAGAGGACAATGCGCGGGCGCATTCGACCAATTCCGTGACTCCGTTGACCAACGGCTTGGCGAGCTACGTCGATTTCAGCACACTCTGTGCAATCGGGTGGGTCGGCTTTCATGAACATGTCGGGATCGAAGTTGGCGAGGTAGCGACACTTCTGGCATACCATCTTCTCAATACTACCGTGTAGTTGAATAGTGACCGGCCAACTACCCTTGACATTAAGTGGGACCTCAGTTGCCAGTGGGCCCATCGAGGTTTCAATGCCATCGATATTTTGGGTGTAAAGTCGCTTGAGGCGAGACTCGATACCTAATCGGGCGAGCATTTGGTGGAAGGCGGTGGGCTTAATATTGGCGACCTCCTCCGACAGCGACCGGACCATTTCGTGAAAGGGGGCGGTCAATGCGTCATCCTGATAGACGGCAGCATCGAAGAGAAGCTTGCCGGAGGCTTTCAAGTTATGTTTCTTTTGCAATGATTTAAAGAGACCATCTGTGGAGCGAAAGTCCGGAACTATAAGAGAGTTAAGAGTGGTTCGTTGCGGCAGAATCCAGCAGAAACTTACTACCCGCAGCAGTGGAAATGCCGGCGCCAGCGATGACGACAATGTCTTTTTGGTGACGCAGAGTTTGAACGAGCAAATAATGTTGATCATTTTGTTCATAAAGAGATTTGGATAGATCGAGATATTGAGTGGTCCGTTCCTTTGGTAGGGGGTTGCGTCTCCTCTTTGGACGGGCTTGGCGTGCAGAACCCTCCTCAGCTCCCTCTTGGGATGAAGGCGTCGGGTATCGCTCTGCTGGCTCTGGTGACGATTCTAGTCTTGGTGATGAAGGTGCGGAGCTCAAATCCGATATATCAGATGAAGAATCGAAATCGAAATCCCCCATGGCTGCTTGGGAGGTGTGAATGGACCGAACGGCGTGACAGTGTAGGAGAATGTTCAACCCCAGGGGAAGTCGGAGCGAAAAGAACCGAGTTACGGTATCTCTAAATTGCTCACAGACCGTAGAAAACCTCGAAAAGAGAAATCATGTGTGTGTAGGCAATAAAGACTAAAAAAGATCAATGGCGTGTAAATCCTTGAGGTAGGGATAAAGGTAGAGAATAGGAAATAGAGGAAGTTGACGATGAGGTCAGCGTTGGGGGATATTAATGAAACTCGTGCACTTCAGGACTCTATGGCCCGGAGAAAAAAATAAAAAAAGGGCGGCCCGCAGAACCTTTGTTTTGGTCGAATGGATGTAGGAATGCTCTAAAGAAGTAAATTGGATTTGAGCGAAGCGAATGAACCAAAGGTGGGACTCGATGTTGTTTTGATGCGGTTGTGGGTTTTAAGACTACACATATACTTCGGAATAAAGAGAGAAAATAGTCCAGTAATAGGCGCTTTTGGCTCTTTTGGCTCTTTGATACTCATGAAACCCCCATTGATTGTAGGGCTTAGAATAGTCAATTGCCCTTTCACACTTCAATAGGACTCTTAATAGCTCATCATTATGCTTTTCCTATTATTCTCATATTTTTCCGATTTTCTTCCTATTTTTCTTTCCATTTTTCTTTCTTATTTTCCATGTTTTGACAGTTCAAGGGCTCAATGGTGATTCGCTCTATTGTATAGTGGATCACCTGATAGTCACCTGATTGGTCCCTTGTCGTTGGCAGGGCTACCCGTCACCTGACCCATGTCACGAGGCCTGACTAATCTAGGAAATCCACTGGTCCCTGGAGGTCCAGGCGCTGACGGCATAGGAACATCTGGATTTGGTCTATGGTCTCTCTCCTCATATTGAATTCGGGAATTGCTGCATTGACGGTGACTTTGCTGGTGTTGGTGACATCTTCTCGATCATTAGGCGCCAATCTCGGGAATCCCGCCCCCCCTCTTTCTTTCTTGAATAATAATAAAGTCCTTCTGATATTCAATCCGGGGAAACTCTATGAAGCTATGCTGTATTGATTCCCTGATTATCAAACACACTTGAAAGTGGACAAATATTATGCCCTTGATCATGGAGGACGGTATCGATGTGGATGATCTCTTTGGAGAATCCAACTCCCTGGAGTTGGGCTTGCCGGCCGCCTCCCCAATCAAAGGTCTAGCACAATGCCTAGATGAAATGCGTCTATTAGGCTGCTGCCAGTAAGCTCGGAAGAAGGTTCCACATCCACATTTCAGGAACTAACAACTTTTTAGGAAAATTGCTTGGTCACGGATGGGATGTATTGCATCTATTTCCCCAGACGGACTCCGGGTGATTATCCGCCATCTTCAGTGCCGTCCATCAGATGGTAAATGGGTGCTTGGGGAAGAGTCATCTTTAGCGCCAGTCTTGGAGGCCCATAATGGCAATCAGCTAGCCCATCTATCATGGAATGAGACTGGTTCAGAACTGGCTGTGGTTGACTGTTCTGGTCGCATATCAATTTATTCCATTTCCATTGCATTGAACAGCATCACAGGCTTGCGCCAGGCCTCATTTGACTCGGGCGACGATGGTAACCAGGTTGTTGGAATGATGTGGCTGAACTCCCAGCGTTATGTACGTCGGGTGCCCTTATCATTATCCATTAAGGTAGATCATAGGAAATGACTCTAACATGGCAATATAGGTGCATGCTTTTCACCAAGCGGCCAAGGTGAATGGTCGATGGGCATACTCACCTTTCCGTCGACGCCCCGTCGGGCCATTCCACCCAGCCAACAAAGGCGCATTGATATGTGTGACCAGAGCCGGCCAGATCAAGCTGATATATCAAAACCCTGATAGCAAATGGGCCGAGCTGCCTGCCGAATTGAAGAACACAGGGTACTCGGATAGACTATTAACGCATGCATCCATGACCGCAACACAAGGTATTATCTTTCAGAGCTCCATTTCCCGCCATCACTGACGTATTGAAACAGCTGGGATCCTTCTCGCCACATACTCCGTATGCCAGAAAATGTGTCTTTATAGAGTACACGTCTGCTGGAACCCGCCACAATGGGAGCCGGCACAGGGAAAACAGACTGGCCAATTTCCCATTCCCACCTTCCGGTTTATCCACTGTAAGGTCGACATGCCCAGCAATATATTGAACGTCAACCGTGGCCCGGACCACTCCGATCAGTCTTTGCCGTTTTTGAACTCGGTATACTCGTTGACACGACTAGAGATCATGCCGGGTCAGTTTGATAGCCCCGCGGGGTCCACTGGTAATCCTTGGATCCTGGCTGTCTTATCGAAGCCCCTCCATGCCATACATGACTATCCAGACCAACAAGGTCCGCCGAGTATAATAGTCAGGTGGCATTTGGAATCTACACCCCAGATCCTTCATCCCAAGTTCGACGAGGTGACGTCAAAAAAGAGCAACACTCAAGCAAAGGTGCGAATTCCCTGGGGATTCTTTGTATCGAATTGAGACTGACCAATTCTCAGGGCAGAATGGAACTCCGCAGGTTGGATGACGTTTATTGCGATAAGTATATTGTCTCGGTCGACATAGTAGAGCATGGGGCTGTTTTGGCTGTCAGTCACGATGATGGCTCAATAACATGCTATGACACACGGACAATGGCCGTTTTGAACGGTCTTGACGATTCAACCACAGTGACCTGTCTGGCTCAGGCCGGGTTCCAGTATCCACTCGAAACATCAGGTATGTCCGGTACTGATCGATATTGCTTTTAGATGCGTGGCCAGAACTGATATGGACAGGTCTTCACATTGCTTTCTCTCCTAATGCTTGCGTTGCCGTTACGCTGGACAGTGACGGACATATGCAATTGAGGCTGATGGAGCATTCATTCGGATCCGCAGAGGGTATCTATGACGAGAGTATGTGTTTTCCAGGTCACCTGTATGAAATAACACTAACCGAGACATGTAGGTAATTTTTCCACTGCCATTGCGGCCTTGACATTAGCATTTAGTCGAGGTTGTGGAGTTGATTTCAATACAGATGACATACTCATGGTTGCTCTCGCGCAGCTATCACCGGGTGAGTGCTTTGGAGGCCTTCGTATTTATATCATCAAGTCCGCTGACAACTTCAAAAGAGGCTCAAATCACGTTCATCAGCGAGGTGTATCGTGCACTGCCGATTAATTGCAATTTCACAGCCGAACAAGACAAACTCATGAGCCATCCGTACATACCTCGTTGTCTCAGCTTACAGGCTGGACTGGGCTTCAAAGGGAGACTCAAGCGTCGCAACCTCTCATCGGCCGTGCCGTGGGCAAGCCTTCAACTCAGACATGCCTCGGTTCTATTTGCGTATTTCTTCCAGTATAATAAAGGGACACCGAGTGAATCGCATGATCCAGGTGAGTTTAAAGAATACAACTCATTTATCGTATCCGTTGCTAATTGAAACAAAAGATGTTTTACGGATGGTCTTGGGTAACACCAAATGGACATTAGACTTCTCTCACTTCCTTCTAAACGAAATCTTCGACATGGCCGACGACTTCGAAGGTGTCTTCAATGACCCGGAAGCATTCACACAGAAATGTAGGAACATCCCCGTAACAAAAACTCCAGCTTCAAGCACACCCATCTCACTATTATCACAGTGAAAAACTCCTCCTCCCTCCCTCTCCTAATTCTCCTCTCAAGCATGTCACGCGCCTTCCTCCGCTTCATCTGCCGTGGCCTCCGCGGCGTACATGCCGGCTTCGCAAGCGCAACCCCTGCCTCCCTTACAGACGACTCCCGAATCTACTACACAGAGATCTGCCAAACCCTAGAATCATCGCCGGTCCGAATCGACGTGTACGAGAAGTTCCTAGCAGGAGTCGACTCGGCCGTGAAACACGCCTACCAGGGTGCTGGCTTCGGCGACGCCGAAAAACCCGGCCCGGAAAAGGAACTACTGGTTAATGCGCGCATCCCGCCAGTCCTCACCACAGCCGTGGCCACCCTCCTACGGCAGACAGTCCCGGCGCTCAAATCCGAAATAAACCGCATGGGTATCTACCTTGGGGACTATAGCTGGCTTGGTTTTGCGAATGACAGACGCACGGCGTTGTACCGTAAACAGCGTGAGGTCGATATCCTCAAGAAGTGTCCGCTGCGCCCGCCGTTGCCGTTGGGGAATGATGGTCGCATGGCGCCATTGAGGAAGCGTAGGTGTGCGCGCTGCTGTGAAGTCTCTGGGGATACGAATCTGCCCCGGTCGCTTCTATCGTTCAAGATGATTGCTAAGCTGGGGCTGTTGCGGTCTTGTCTTTGCGGGGGGATGTGGGTTCTCGAGACGGATAATGGGGATCTTGGGGTTAGGACCGTGAGTGCGAATGGCAATGGCAACAGGGCTAGCCAGACTTAGGACATCAGTTAACGCTGAAATTGGATACTATGGCTCGCATTCTAGTTTTGATCGAAGGTGTTGTAGGCTTGGCTGATCCAGGATGAGGATATGTTGGTTCTTTTTTAGAAATCTTAGGCATACTTGTGGGGGGACTAAGTATCTTGCATCTAGATTCATTTGACCATAACAAGATATCCTATGTACAACATTATTTTTGCTTTGTACTTTTGAGTCGTGTAGACTAGAAATGCAGACCACTCAAGATATGTATATTGTAGAAAATATATATCCTCGGAGTCTGGCAGACGATACCACTGGAATGTTCACTAGTCTTACATGAGAGCAAGAGCAAGGAATCTTGAGAATGTCTAAAGTCATGTCATGTCAAGAGTCGATTTGCATCCTATTTAGATACATAATCAAATTCCATTTTTTGGATGTAAAAAAAAGAGAAAACCGACCCCTCCACAAGCTTTCGGATCCACGCTTGTCACGTCCTGCTTATGTCCAAGGCCAGCAACGTCTTCCCACAAAACTCCATATCCGAACAAATCCGAACAAGTTCTGCGTTTAAGCCTGGAATAATTCGTCAGCATTGTGTTCGGCTGATTCGTTTCGTCTGGTGGGCGAGGTCTTTGGTGGCGAGGGCAAAGATAAAAAATCTATTGAATCCTCATTCCACCTATTTCCTGCCCAGGATTGTCGGAGTATCATACCTTAACGGCGAACTTCCGCTGGGGGAAGTGGATGGCACGCTTGCGGAGCTTGTCGGTGGTCTGGGTACGCTCGTGCTTGGTGAGACGGCGACGGATCTCACGGGTGAGCTTGGGGCGGAGGTCGAGCGGGAGGTACTTCTTGTTCTTGTAGAACAGACGCAGCTGAGCGCGCTGGTTGGCGTTGATGACGGTGAGAACGCGAGCGATGGACTTGCGAACCTCGCCGCTAAAAAAATGAAAAATTCCAGTCAGCATCAAAATCTCGAAATATCGATGAACCCCCAGTATCTTGCGGTTTGCGGCATGTCGTATAATCCATCTCTTCCTCGTTCGATCTCTTGAGTTGAATGATGGCGTAGTCTTCCTCTTGTATGTTGTCTTGCCCGGGTTCGATCGTTCCCATGCCGCAAATCTTCAAATTCCTTCCGCACAAAAATCAAATATCGGGGGTGTCGGATACGCACATTCTCTGAGTCTTGGAGGAAGCGCCGGAAGAGATCTTCTGGACGCGGAGCTGGTTAAGCTCCAACTTCAACTCCTCGAGCTGTGTGGCGAGCTCATCCTTGTTCTTGCCCCAGAGCTGACCAGCCTTGACCTTGGACGACTGCAAAAAAAGAGCGATTCATCAGCATTTTGATATCAGAGCCTTTGCACAGCACGACATACCATGGTGGCGTTGAATTGTGTGGGTTGTCGACGTTGAGAATTGAAGATGTCCGAGTGTCAATTTGCGACTGGTTGTGGGACTAGGGCTAAGCGAATTTGTGACTTTAGCGGGTGCACGTGATTACGGTGGCACTAATGCCTTAATTTGATGCCTGAAGTCTCTGGCAAATTAATGCCTGGGCCCTGGGGCATAAACTTACTGTATTTGGTTAGTGCGTTTTACCCCGTCATGGGCTGGCACTTACGTAGACAAGCAGGTAGCACCTCGGCCTTTGCACTTGTTAATTATTTGGCCTGAGAAGAACCCATAAACAGATTAAACTTCTCTGGTGACTTTATCTTCACATTTCACATATTTCTGCCTGCCATGGCATCCTCAACTAGTTCCGGATGGACACAGCTCCGGCAACAAGCACGGTCGCTTGAGACTCAGGTACCAATATCTCACCAGGAGCTCTATACCAATGTTAAACTGACACACCGATAGACCGAGAACCTTTTCCACACATATTCACAATTTTCCTCGATTACCAAACCACCACAATCACCGACCGAGGAAGAGCTGCGGCTTGAATCGCAATTGAAAGACCTCCTCGAAAGAGTACGTCCATTCACCGACAGTCAACAGAAAAAAGAACTGAGAGCTAATTGACTAACGTACAGCGCGAATCCGTCATCGCTCAACTATCCCGTCTCCTCGACTCCGAAGCCACCCTCACCTCCTCCGCCCTAAAACAGAGCAATGTCTCCCGCCACCGCGAAGTACTGCAAGACCACCGCCGCGAGCTCCAACGTCTGAACGCATCTATTGCTGAGGCGCGCGACCGCGCAAACCTACTCTCCAATGTCCGATCTGATATCGATTCCTATCGTGCATCCAACCCCGCCGCCGCCGAGGCCGAGTACATGCTTGAAGAGCGGGGTCGAGTCGAGAACAGCCACAGCATGATGGACGGCGTGCTGAGCCAGGCGTATGCCATCAACCAGAATTTCGGTGTCCAGAGTGAAACACTTGCCAACATCAATCGGCGCATTGTCGGTGCTGCTGGCAGTGTCCCCGGCATGAACTATCTCATGAGCAAGATTGGAAACAAGAAGAGGCGGGATGCTATTATTCTCGGGTGCTTTATTGGGTTCTGCTTTTTGATGCTGCTATTCTTCCGTTAAAGCATGTATGCGAGACTCCAGCGGTAGGTCTGCTATACCACCGCCCCTATGTCATATTGTTCTTTTGACAGTTGCTGCTCTCCAGCGAATGGTTTTCTCTTATCGAAGGCGTTGGGGTTTGGGCATGTTCCGAGTCCCCCTTGATGGGGGATAACAGAATCGATGATAATTCTCGTAACAGGGTCTTGAAGGCGCCTATTTCTTATACTTTCTATTATACAGATTCTCTATTGTATGTACAAATTCAACCGAGAGCGGAATCATATCACATCCAAGGCTCCAGTTCACGTAATCCTTCTCACCCCAGGTTTAATCAATACCTGCGAGATGGGTCCTGCGCTAGGAGAGCGGCGTTCTTCTCCTCAATAAGCTTCCGCAAACCAGCATTAAGTCCCTCCAACTCAGACGCTTCAGCCGGTCCACTGCCCGCCCAGCGGATACGACACTCCGAATCAACCAGGTAGACATAACCGACCTTGGAATTCATCATGCCGATAGTCTCTTTGAGTGCCTGTTCGAAACCCTTCTGCACAAGGAAGTAGCGCGAATGCTGCTCCACAGGCAATTTCTGCCGCATCCGCCACATGAACGTCTTGATAAGGAAGGCCTTCAACCGGTTCTCCTCGAGATTAATATCAATCCTCTGCACATGTCTCCCGCCACTGGCCAGTGCCTCCACAAGTCCCGGGTTCTGCTTCGGCCCCGTAAAAGTCGCAACCTGGCTCTCAGCCCACATGCTTGAGAACAAGTTCACGACGGAGATGCTGCCACGCAGTTGCGTCGTCGTGTTCTGGGGATCCTTGGGTGCTGCCAAGGTTATGCCGTGCATGTTCGGGAAGTAAAGGGCTTTGTCGGCTTTGAACATTCGTGGGTTCGAGACAAAGGTCTTGCCCTCGGCGAAGCGGAGATTGGACCATTCGCGGAAATACGGCTTGGCGACTTGTTTTGTCCTGTGGATTACCATTGTTTGTTAGTACATCAATCCCGCGGTGTAAAGAAGCAGAAGAGGGAAGAGGTAAGCTCGTACAATTCCTTGCGCCGCTTGATGTGTCGGTCATAGTTGGTGAAGTCGTCGCGCCGCTGGCGCATCGACCGCGTGTCAATACCCGTGTTCTGTCCTTCTAGTGGCGCTTGCGGGCTACCGATGGGACGGTCTAGGGTTGGAGGAACGAAGTCTGCGTCACCGGGCTGAGGTCCATCCTGGTTCTGTTTGAATTCGATGGCAGTCGAGAAGCGGTGTCCCTCGTTTTTTATGGTTCGTTTCACGGGAGCAGGAGCGGCGTCTTTATTGTCGATAGGTTTCTCGACCTTGCTGGAATATTGGCGCAGAGAAAAGGGTTTGGTTCTTAGCTGGGAGAGAGTTGTTGGTTTCCGGAATTGGCAGCTTAGACAGCGGCCGGTCTGTAGGAGGCGGAGGTCGGCCACCAAGGTGGGTAGGGCGGATTTCCACATATTGGCTGATGGTATATCAGTCAATGGGCTCTGTGGTGGATTGTGAGGTTATTGCTTTCAAACTCCGCGCATTTGATCTTCCATGGAAATCGATAGTCACATGACATGGTGTTTCCATTTTGGGAATAATTGTGAATAATTTTATGGGAGTAATAGAGCCGAATATATGTTGTAGAGTTGATGATATATAAATATAGCACTGTCTAAGTCTCATGCAATCCTCATACCTGGGTTATCTACTGGCTATAGGTCACCAATTGAGTAGATACCTCCCACTTTACAGTCACGTGATCTGGCGCCTATTTCGCGCCGGTCAATCGCGTCCACGGGTCATCCAATGTGGCCCAAAGGAAGCCTTCGGACCATTACCCTTTCTCTTTTCTCTCATGGATTATACGAGTTGGTCCCACAGTGACTACAGTCATCTATATAATGGACTATCCCTCGTCTAGGCAGCCGTCCCTCCATTGGATTCCGGACTAGCCTACTATGAAGGACTATTTTCAAAGTAAAAAGACATTTTTTGCGGCTCTTGACCGGCTGGATGATTCAGATGATCAAGATGAAGAGTACAAGAACCGGGAGAGTCTCCTAGCTTTTACAGACAAAGAAGTTGCCAAACCAAATTCGAACAAAGTCGATCCTTCCTCGGAGCGTATCCCACTTCCTCGAGCAAATTCGGACCCTATATCTCCGTGTGACCTTCAAACCAAGAGAATCAGCCCGGTCGCTATTCTCAAACCGACTCCTGCGAGCCGTCCTTGGACGACTGGAACGATGCCTACCATCCAGAGCGCAGCACCTCGAAAGAAAAGAAAGACAAGCAATGCTAAGGTAATCCCAGATGATCAGCAAATTTTCAAGGGATTAATCTTCTGTGAGTACTTTAGATTTCTCTCAGCCTAGTCTCACTAAACTCTCGGTTCCAGTCTTCTTCCCGAACAATGATGTATCTCCCTTCCGAAGATTGCGTATTCAACGAGCACAGGATTATGGTGCACGATGGAGTCGAAATTGGGCTACAGATGTCACCCATGTGATTATGGACAAAGGCTTGCTATCGAGCGACCTCCTTAGCTACCTCAAACTCGAAGTTTTGCCAGTCAGTTCATTCGTGAGATATTCAGACTTCAGTATTAACTGTCGCAGACGAGTGTTGCTCTTGTCAATGAATCCTACCCATCCGAATGTATCCAGTTTCGTTCGGTTCTTGGTACCTCGCAGCTCCGCTTTCGTGTCGATGGAACCCCGACAACTGCAGAGAAGAAGTCTCCAGTGGCAGAACCACATCCTGATTCCCTTCCATTGAAACCATCTCGGCGGGAGCAAAACCAGTCCCCAGAACCATGTTTGTCTCTGGTCGAAGAATCGACGCCGAATGCCCTGCCAAAAGACTTCACAGAAACCATGCCCGAAAGTGTGTCCCACGCCGTGATCACCGAATTGGTTCATGAAGCAAACGAAGAGGCATGTAAAAGAGGAAACTGGGAGCGAGATGCACTGGATGATATAATAGATGAGGCCAAGGCCACAAGTCATCTGGTAAAACCTCTCCTTTGTCAGCGAAAGCTCACACAACTGATCTTTGTTACCAGCCTCTGGATCTACTTGAATTTCCCATTGACGAATCTGCTCCTGATGCCTCCGATATCGAAACCTCGAGCTCAGGGGAGGAGTCAAGTTGGAAGACACGAAAAACTTCCACTGGGGAAGCCAAAGGCAATGACAAAGACAAACCTGACTGGACTAAAGGTTTCGCCTGTATGCAGAAGTTCGATCCGGACATGAAGCTTGACAATCCGAACAACAGAACCATCGAAGTACTTCAGCAAATGCTAGAATATTATACTCAGACTGCAGACCAGTGGCGGGTTATGGCCTATCGCAAGGCCATCACCGCTTTGCGAAAGCAACCAAATAAGATTACTACACGAGTTCAGGCTCTGGCCATCCCTGGTGTCGGAGAGCGGTTGGCTGACAAGATCGAAGAAATCGTCTTGACTAACCGCCTTCGTCGTCTGGAAAATACCAACAACACCCCAGAAGACTTGATAATTCAAGAATTCCTCGGCGTCTATGGTGCTGGTCTTCCCCAGGCCTCCAAATGGGTCGCGCAGGGCTACAGATCTCTGAAGGACTTATTGGAAAGGGCTCCATTGACTAAGCAGCAGCGTATTGGGGTGGAACGCCACAGCGACTTCGCGCAACGAATTCCCCGCAAGGAGGTCGAAGCCCACGGGGCGATCGTGCGAAAGGCGGTGCAGGCCGTGGATAGGGATATGCAGGTGATAGTCGCGGGCTCTTACCGCCGCGGGGCACTCACCTGCGGGGACGTGGACTGTCTGATCACCAAACCTGGTGCCTCGCTAGAGCAAATCCGCACCATGATGCTTGATCTTGTTGTCCCCAAATTGTTCAGCAGTGGATTTCTGCAGGCCAGCCTTGCCATCTCGTCGCACCAGGTTGGATCTAAGTGGCACGGTGCATCGGCCCTACCTGGAACCACGGTGTGGCG